GAATTTTAAAAATTTAATTAAAATAATTAAAATTTTAACTATTTAAATGATTTAACAAAAATGATTAAAAATTATATTAACCATTTAATTAATTTTCATTTTAAAATTAATTAGTAAATATTAATTGTTATTTTATATTAATTATCATTTTTTTTATTTTTATAATTAAATTAATTAGTATCATTTTTTTATTAGTATAATTAAATACTACTTGATGTGTAGTTGACCGTCTTCATTCGTCGAGCTTCCGTCCGCGTTCGTCAAGCTGGAGTCATCGATCATCCGCATTCGTCAAGCTTGAATTTTCAATCATCTAAATCCCTCGAGCTTGCATCGTCGATCGTCCACGTCTGTCGAGCTTGCAATGTCGACCGTCCGAGTCTGTCGAGCTTGCGTTGTCAACCGTCCGCATCCTTCCGTCGCTGCCATCTTGCATCGTCACAAGCTTTTCCTGCTCATGATTTCCTTCTTCCCGCGCACGATCGCATTTTCCTGCTGCCTATTTCATATGGGAGTTGCTCGACGAGCTCGCGAGTCGAGCAGGTGGGTTGTTCGAGCTCGAGCTTGATAAGCTGTTGAGCTCGAAATCGTGTTCGAGCTCGGCTCGCAAGCTCGACAAGCTCGACTCTTCGAGCCAGTTATCTACTCAAGCTCAAGTCAACTCGCGAGACTGCTTGACTCGGTTGCACCCCTAGGCTATAGCACGTTTTATCCAACAATGATTTCAACCTTGTCTAAGATTCAATTTAGAAGTTTGTTTGGGTTTATTTGTGGGCTTATGTCTTGATGGTGCATTAAAGCTATTGGGCTTATAACATGGGCTACAGCCCAACAGTCATAGCCTCACTTAAGACTTTCGAAAACATCCCCTTTAAAATTAACATTAAAAAAGCTATTGGGCTTATAACATTATTTTCTTCTCTCCTTTGAAAGACTTGACATTCTTTAAGATCTTTTTAACACTCAGATATTTGTAGTATAAATTGTGTATGATGTGTTGTTATTTATTAATAAAATGATAGGGCATTATCAAAATATTAAGCATAGGCAATAATGTCATATGAGTGGGCATAGGCAATAATGTCAGTCAACGAGTGATTAGTGTAGGCTAACATTTTTTTAATGTAGTTATTAATTTTATCTAAGGAGTGATTTGTAAAGTTAAAAGTTTAGGCTAACATCTAAGCTGCATAAGATAGTGTAGTTAGTAATTTTACCTAAAGAGTGATTTATGAATATGAATGAAGAGATGCTAGTTTTTAAAGATAGATGTTTTATTTGGGATAAATTTTTTAAAGTAGCTTTCTTGTACTATAAATTTTTGTACTGAAAAAAATTGTTTTGAAAAATAGTAAGACACGAACGAAGCCAAAGTCACCTACTTAAATACTTTAGAGGTAGATAATGGGTTTAGGTTGCTAAGGCTATGGTATCACTATTATTGTATTGGAAACATTTGGTGAAGTGTGTTGAACCTATGCCACCATTTTTTAATGTCTTTATCAATGGCTGATTTAGGGGGGCTTGAAGGGGCACGTCGCCCCCAATCAGACGAAGAGGAGTCCCTCATAATTAGCCAATCATTTTGCACCAAAATAAAATTATTGATAGATTTAGCCACCTGAGACTTCAATTCACTAGTTGACATAACAGTAATAGGAACATTAATAAAAGTTGTTGAACCTCTCAGACTACCATTGGTAACATGCGAAACCACACTAGTATGTACCACAGAATTGATAGTAGAAGACACGCCATAATCAACAAGCATGAAATCCCTGGAATTCACCTCCACAAACAAATCTATCTAGCCAAGCACATCATCCACACAAGAAAAGCTAGCTTTTTAGTTTAGTATCACAATTCATATCTCCAACCTCACTAAACTAAGGAGCAAAATGAGAAGGAAGCAAAGGAGAGGCCAATTCCCTCACTCACTCCCCACCACAATGCCAGCATTCTCAATAGGGACAGACAGGGAGGGAACCAAATTACCAACAGCTAGCCCCTCAGAGACCAAAGCCAATGGACAAATGTCACATGCAGCATCCAAAGTTTCCACATATGCAACATTCGCAATGTTATTAACTAAGTAAGCAATCACCTGCGCATTAACAGCATCCTCCGCCACAGGCAAAACAAGACCCGCATTAACCATATTCACCCCTGGCAACGCACATGAAGCAGAAAAAGAATAAGGAACAGATTTAGTAGCAGTATTAAGATGAGGATGTAAAATACGGCAATCCTCTTTCAAATGGCCTTAAGAACTACAATGCATACAAAAGTGAGGAATATCATCAAAAATCACTGATTGAATATAGTCGAAATTAGGCGAACCCATCCAAATTTTATTAGGAAAATTTTTGGTGACATCCAATTCAACAAGGATGGAGCAACCAAAGGACTGGAACCAGATGCAGTAGCGATGTCCAATTTCAGAGATCAGTCGAACAGAGAACCCAAGCCAAAGATAATCCAAGGCCAGAAAAGATGGGGCCTAAGATAGGAAAACAAAATCCATATAGGGACAATCGGGGAATCAACCTCAACATCCAAATTTTGGGACCATTTAACCACTTTCATATAACAATTATTCACAAAATAAGATCGGTGAGAGAAGATTCTATAGTAATCAAAATCATTGACAAACTTAATCAAAATATTTCTAAGGTTAAGAACAGTGACCGAACAATCGCCAATGAGTTTTAACTTGAAGAAAAACTTCCGAATGACGTCAATGGTTGGCCGCTTGTCGGGAAACTTATCAACCATAGCAAATTCAAACGGAGCAACAAGAGAGGAAATTTCCTCCTCCGAAATCAACAACGCCGGTAAACCACGGTGAGAAGAAACACGCAAATCAGGAAAATGAACCGAAGAAGGGGAAGCCCCGGACAAGGTTCTTTAAACAAAAGAGCCAGAGAAGCTCCATTCAAAAAACTCGGGTCATGAAGCCGGGTAGACGTCATCAAAGCCGAATAAGGAAAAATGAAACACGCAAAATACCGGGAGAGAAAAGAGACTTCCCTGAGACAAATCCGGAGGCGGAGATCACCCACGCAGCGATCGTCAAAAAAGGGGTAAAATCCTAGCAGAGCGAATATCGCACCAATTGGTTATACCATTGCATTGAAGATGGTTTTTTTTGCCCTATTAGGTCTCATTTAAGATGACAAACATTCTTGATATTTCCTTCCACAATACCTCCCGACTGCTGCATATAAATTGCCTCTTCCAAATCTCCATGTAGAGAAATGATCTTAACACTGATTATTATATAATTATATATAATTTGAACGAGATCAAGGTCTTGTTTGGCAATAAGAGATTGTATAGCTCTTATGGACGTTTATGTAACAACCACTAAGAATACTTCATTAAAATTAACTTACTCCTGCAACTTATATAAAATTAACCCTTTTGCAACCAACTTTGCTTTATAATTTTCATTTATACATGAGGCTTTCTTCCTCTTATAGACTCATTTATACCCAATCATCTATTGATTGTTCGGTTTATAAACAAGAACAGAAGAATACTTTTTTGTAGGGAAAATATTTCTTCTTTCATTAGTTTTAACCAATGAGTACAATTTTTAAAACTTACAGCTTTCTAGAAAGATAATGATTCCTTCTAAGATTTCTGGCTGAGGTTTTATTTGGGATGAATTTTTTATTGTTCTTTAAAATAGTTTTTAAATAAAAAAATTAAATTTTTTTTACTAAAAAATTGCTTTAAGAAACAATAAAAATGCCTCTGAAGCAAAACCTGAATCCTAAAAAACGTAATTTGGATAGCAGCAAATCCAAGTTTTTGAGGTGCCCTACTTTTCCATCTGGCCCTATCTTTGGAAAAATTATTCCGTCAGGTTACCAGACGTAGAGCTACATCAGGTAGCTTATAATATGTCGCCACGTGCACATACTTTTTACCGTGCGGCCCGACGACCCTACTCGGACCGAATCCGAGATTACTATGTTCGCGTATTGCTCGGTATTTGCTTGCTATTGCTAGGTATTACTCGGTATTGCTTGGCAATAATGAGAAATACCGCTATGTGAAGACCAATACCGAGCAATACCAAGTAATACCTAAAAGAACTCGGTATTGCTCGGTATTGGTCTTCACATAATAGTATTTTTTCGTTTTTGTCGAGCAAAATCGACCAATACCTAGCAATATCGAGCTACGCAAACTCCCGGGTCCATTCCGGGTCAGGTCGTTGGGCCGCGCGGTAAAGAGTAAGTGCACGTGGTGATATATTATAGGCTACCTGATGTAGCTCTACGTCAAGTAACCTGACGGAATAATTTTTCCTATCTTTGGCAAGGCAATAATTCTACTGATCCACACTTTCAGCAAATGACGTGTCGGCTTTGCATGGGAAATTCTTTAATTTAGTTCCGAATGACTAGCACTTTCATCTTCAATACGGTTGGGAACCCCCCAATCAGTGCTCAAATCCCCTCGAGCAGCAGTGCCTCTTAAGTGGGGCACAATCAGGTGCGTGTTAGGAGGTTTCTCGGATGGGTGCCTCTTCTAGGTCAGCCGAGGATTAGTTACACCACCAAGCACCCTTTCGAAGGTGGCAACGGGTGGATACCGGGTTCCAAAACAAAAATTGGAGGAAAAAATTTTATTATATATGATAAATGTGAGAAAATTATTATCCTATTTATTTATAAAGCTTAAATTAGTTTTAAGAAAATTTTTAAAATTTTTATATTTATTTTAAATGGACTCATGTTTCTCGTTATTTTATAAAAAAAAATTCATATATCCCTTAAATACCATATGAAATCACAGTGCACGTACATGCCTCTTTTTCTTCTTTTTAATAATTATTTTTTATATATTTAATATTTAAATTAAATAAATTTAATCATAAAACCCTTGTGCGCTATTATATTAAATATGCACCTCTCATAATAAAGTCAACATTTGACCATTGAGCTGTAAGGCCGGTGGCAGAATTTTAATAGCCGTAGAATTTGCTGGTTCTCTCGATTAGCTCGTTTACCGAACTACCTCATTCAGTTGGTCACGTAAGAACCACCTTCCTATATCTCTCTCTCTCTCTCTCTCATCTCCCCTCCTTCATATTCTTGACAGATTTATTCAAATTCAAATCTGTTGTTTGATTTCCTCATTTGGGTATCTCTCTCTCTTTCTTTCATTAAGTATCTTTTACGCCCTCAAGTGACCTCCTAGCTGCCAACGCAATCACCTTCTGTGTTTTCTCTCGATCCACTTTCTTCCACAATTTGAAGAAGTTCCGGCTTTCCTCGACGCATTAATGGCTGCGGTGGAATGATTGATTCGTGTTTATTGGAATCGTGAAGGATTAATTAACCAACAATTTTAACAAATTTGATTTGGGTGCCGCTAAACTAATTAATCGCAAGATGGGGAGGGTGAAGCTTACAATCAAGCGTTTGGAGAGTATGAATAGACGTCAAATTACCTACTCGAAGCGCAGGGCAGGTATCGCGAAGAAGGCCACTGAGCTCTCCGTATTGTGCGACATTGATATTTTACTTCTCATGTTCTCGCCAACGGGAAAACCAACGATATGTCTTGGAGAGCACAGGTATGTTTATACTTGCCAACATATTCAAATCAGAACTTGTGTCATGTAGCTTGTCGATATGATTCAGTTTTTCAGAGAGAAATGGTTTTATGTATCCTAAATACATTTCAAATTATTCTTTCGGAAAGCTCAATAATCCATGGAGCGATATCTTATGTTATTTTAGATATAGTTAAATAATTTAGAGTATCCTAAATACTAGCTAGAATAAAGTAGAAGAAATGATATGAAATTGATTCAAGTGATTAAGGATGTTCAATATAATTAGGTTAGTGAAAATAGGGTATTAGTATTGGTTACTGGAAAGGAGGATTAATGAGACATTTATACTGAAGGGCATATTTAAAATAAGAGAGTTATGTATACATATTTCTAAATGTAGCTAGATATACAAACAATTTATTGTATTAGTTTAATGATAAATAATGAACAAATTGTGCTTGGTTATAATTCCGCAGTCGTTTTCCTTTCCATGAATTTCTTTAGAAGAATCCAAAATGCACCAATAGATGCAATAAAATTTCATTCAGTAATAGATGCAGTACAACGCATGTAATAATAGATGAGTAAAAGCACATGCTCTTGTAGGTATAAAAAGAGCTTATGTTAGAAACGAGTTGTAAATTGGTGATTGGTTGACAGCAGCACCAAGGACTTTTTTATGGGTATTCAGTGTAGTTTGGTTGGTGAAAATAGGGAAGCAGTCTTGGTTGTTTGTAAGTAGGACTAACAGAACATTTAAGATGAAGGGAAAGTTTATAATGAGAAAGTGATGTATGTAGGTTGGTATATTAGCTTGATGGTAAAAAGTGAACTTTTGCTTAATTAAATTTGAGTAGTTGGGTTTCCATTCCATGAATTATTTTTATGAGAATCCCAAAAGCACTAATAGATGTAGTAAAAGCTCATGCCCCATTATGTATGGAGAGAATTTAGGTAAGAAACTCTTTGTTTAATATATAGGCGACGAGTTGATAGTGGCTCTTAAGAGTTTATGAAGGGATATCTTTTACATCCTTACTCGCTTATCTTATTTTTCTTAGTATTTCCATTATTTTTTTCTTGTACCTTTTGGTTACTTAATTATTTTTATTAAGATGCATTTTATTTTTGCATATTTCTATATGACAAATATTTCTTACCAGCAAATTTGAGGACGTTATTACTAAGTTTGCACAATTGACCCCACAAGAGAGAACAAAGAGGAAATTAGAAAGCCTTGAGGTAAGTCCATTATGTACATCTTACTTTTGATCTAACGTACAGGTTAAAATATTTAAACTACTGCTAAATATATATATAAAAGATAAATCTTATGCAACATCAAAAGCAGGTTATAAACTTTTTTCCTATAAGTGCTCCTATTTTTTGAGTCCTTCCATGTTTTTTTTATTGTTAGTATTATCAATACTCTTAAAGGTTATATTTTGAGGTGACAAAATTGCTTACTTGGCTTCTCTTTGGAACTCCACACCAAACTAATATATTTCTCTACGTTTATTCCATCATCTTGTTTGCTTTAAGGCACTAAGGAAGAAGACATTTGCATCTTTCCTGGTTTCCTGCATTAGGATATGTCGATGTCCTTTATAATACCTTATGATGTATTGATTTTCTTCTTGAAATCAAGAGAAGAAAACTTGGGACGATTTTGACATTGGAGAAATGGTTTCAATATGTACAATTGACTTGTATTAGTTGATAATTCTTTGGGCAATAATGTATCATTTTATGATATCATTTGATCAATGGAAAAATGTTTTTAATTTATTTATATACTCGTTGACATAATAAAAGAAATATCATATATACCTTCATTGAATTATTTAGTAGGTATCTAATCAAGACTTCTACCTTAAAAATATTCATTGATAATCATGTATATATATATATATATATATTATACAATTTAGTTACTATATGGAAAACAATTATTTAGCTCTTTTATTGAGTTTAAATGAAGAATTTGGGTTTCCTGTTAAATGGAAAACAATTATTTACATTAAGAATTGGAAATCTTAAGGGAGCAATATGCAATTTTGTCATAAGATTGTATTCAATTGGGTAAAAAAGTTGGTTTGTGCTAATGTTTTTTTTTTTTTTTTTTTTTTTATAGGTGCTAAAGAAGACATTTAAGAAATTGGATCATGATGTAAATATTCCAGACTTCTTGGGTTCAAGGTATGGAATAAACTTGGCAAGTTTCTTTTACATATTACAATAGGCTGCAAAAATTAATACTCTAATATTCTCCTCTTATCTATTGCAGCAACCAGATCATTGAGGTATGTTTTTGAAGATAACAACATGGTGTTGTAGTTGCATATTCCGGATTTTCAATCTAGTTTTTAAGATAACTATTCTATCTTTGAGCAGGAGTTATCTAGCCACTTGCTGAACTTAAAATCTCAATTATTTGAGACGCAAAGAAAATTAAGGTGATATTTTCAATTTTTATTCTGTTAGATGAACAACTCATTTCTTCATTAAGTTTACGATCTTTTCAAATTTTCTTGTACAATCATAAAACAAAAATAAGAGTTTGTCACTATAGACAAAAAGATTATAAAATAAGTTTCATGTAGCCACACTTCTTGCTGCAGGCCACATATACTAGATAGCTTCATATCTCACATAATTGTAAATCTCATGATTGCATAAAAACCATTAGTAGAAATCACAACAAACTACAATGATAATTACAATTGCAGCATCATAAGTCACTATTAGAATAGCCATCATGAGCATTGTAGAAATGGTACTAACCTCCTTCGAAAAGATTGAGGGTCTAGTACTCTGAAAAGTATTTGGGGGCAGGCTGCTTCTTCTAAGGGAGGTCATCAACACCTATTGTAACTCCTCTTCCTCTCAAGCGGACACAAAGGAATCTTGATAGGCGTTAGATCATTTAGGGTAACCCTTCAATGTTGTAAATGGTTGCCAAAGTAAAAGGTGCTTATTTCCATTTGGAGAGCGACCTAAGACAAAGAGATGTTGCTTCAATAAAAAACTTGATAGTATCATTTATATTTTCATGCTGAACATAAAACAGAACATAGGAAATGATACCCTAAATAAGGAATACACAAAATAAGTATAAAGATCATAAAAGTAAACACACAAATCATCAATTAACTCACAAGTGATTATGTGAACTGAAATTTTGCTTTTAATGTTTTTATCTTGTATTTTAACCAGCTGAGGGAGTGAGTGATTATTTATAGTGATAGCCTATCTGTGCAAATATATTATAAAACATTTTACTGTCTTATTACATGCAAGAATCACTTTCTCGACATAATAACCAAAAGCTTTTTGCACGGTGTCAGTCAGAATTAAGATTTCGTTTGAGACAGCTTTTTTACTGCCGTGTAAAACCGCTTCATAATACAAATATTTCTAATTCAATAAATTTTTATACTAGAGATTCCTTTTAGAAAGCAATAAGAAAGCTATTATAAACCAAACCTAATTTTTACATATACTATGGAACAGTGGCGTCTCTGCTATGGAAACTGAACCGCTTTGATATTTTGAAACGTCAACCTGTTTGATGTAGCTTCTGCTTATTTCACTTACTAACTGTTGTGCGTAACACATTTTTGACAACAGTGATTGGACTGACCCTGACAACGTTGGTAGCATAGAGCAAATCACGCAAATGGAACATACTCTACTGGAAGCTTTAAATCGGATTCAAATGCAAAAGGTATGTATTATTTATAGTTGATGCTTAACAACTATGTAAAAAAGGGTACCACACGACACTTTCAAAGGCTTGTGGAGCACATTCTTACAATTTTTTTTTTTTTTTTTGGACTTTCAATAGGCTTTTCTTCTATTTTAGTTCCCTAAATTCTTTCCTGGCATAATTTCTTTTACTTATTTGTTACTGGCTAGCTTGTGCTTCTAATTACACAACTGGGAATTTATTTGATGTGATTGAGTTAAAATTTCTTATTAATTCGACATGGTTCTATTAGTGTATGATGCTTATTAGCAAACAATATGAGAAAATTGTTATGTTGAGAAGGCATGATTTGAAAAAATATTATTTATCCTGTGTTAATTGTATTTATGGGGTTTTATACACATGACATTTAATTCATTTTTTATTTACATGTTTAAGACCATAAAGTTTCTATTTACATAAGACTAGGCTTCGTTTGAGACGACTTATATATTTTCTGCTTCTTAAAGCAGCTTTTTACTATAAAATTTTAATTTTTGTACTAAAAAACTGCTTTATGAAGCAGTAAGGTAGCCGTCCCAAACGAAACCTTAATTATTTAAGTACCATAGAAAACATGACTATCTTTCCCTACAATTAACTTCTGATTCGCTCTTTGCTTGACAGATATACCTTATTAGGAATCAACTTTTGCAGTTAGATTACCCTGGTGAGGTACGTACAAACTTTTTCACATTTATGACAGCTTCTAAATTATTCAGTACATAATAAAGTTCAACTATTATTTTTTATGACTGCATTAAAAAAAAATGATTTGTGTTTTGTTTATATATCCATAGTTTCTCAATGCCATGCAATTGCATGTGAATTCGAGCAACGAGCAACAACCTTCAAATATGCAATGGCAACATCATGGTGATGACCAAAGTTTCATGGTTTCAGGAGCTCCTAGCTTGCTACCTCAAAGGTCAAAACACGCTCTGCTAGATCCTCACTAAATTATTCTTCGCCACATATGTAATAACTTGTTATTATATTTTTCAGGAATAACATGTGTTCCACAGAAACATCACTTCAAGACTACCCTGACTATTACGGCATAGAAGAACAAGTAGTGTGTAGTAACAATGGACAAGAGGAACCCATGAATGGTATGGGTCACAATTCATGCTTACAGCTACAGCTTGGAGCACAGCACCCTTATCAATCCTATGATATGAATCTTTTTGCTAACAAGTTCCAACCTAATGGAGAAGTCAGCTTACAGGCGAATCAAGTAGATTTCCAATTTAACGGGTTCAAGCCCCCCGCAAAAGAAGTTACTACCGAACTACAGAATTGGGTTGATGCCACTAAGTCGTGTGTTCGTCCCATGTTTGAAGATCCCGTTTACAGTCAAGTAAGTTGTCATGATTGCATTTAACATCAAAATAATTTTGAATATTGAGCCAAAACAGGTCCAATTAATAAGATCAGTGACGTATGATCTAGCTCCTGAGTGCAATTTTGACGGTCCGGATCTAAACGTTACAGATATACAGGAGCAAAATAAGATCAAAGTGCATATATATTAGCACATATTGAAAGATTTTATTTTTTTATTTTTTTTTTTTTTTTGGGACAGGGATTATCAACCTTCGGCCACTAATCTCTCCGGTCGACCTAGCGGACAACCCACCCTATACTCATCCGGGCCAACACTTAAGGCTTTGCACAAATTGCCATGGGATTCGAACTCGGGACCTGGCCTATGGCCAGCCAGCTCTTCACCACCAAGACAACCCGTGGTGGGTGAAAGATTTTAATTTTAAGTTGCATGTCGTACAAAGAAAACTCATGCATATAACTGTGCAGTCTTTTATAAAATAACCAGAGAACTGAGGCTCTAATGTATATTAATTTTTTTGGCAGTTTGTTGAATTTTGATTTTTTTTTTTTTTTTGCCTCCTTAACTTTGTAGATATTCTAAATCGCCTAATAGCGATGAGCTGAGCCGTGGAAAAATCTCCCAGGACTTGTTTTGTTATGGGATGGTTGCTTGAAGAGAAATGCAAATATCAAATTTATTTTTATTTTATTTCTTTTTAAATAAAAAGAATTTAATGTCTTAATTCAGGGTTATATTTGTTTTAATGGCCGCTGCTAGCATTGGAAGGTACTAGTGGTCGGCAGCAATGAGCAGGATAATTTTTATTTAAAAATATTTAAATTTAATTTTTTGACCATTTTCAAAATGATTTATTTTATTTAAAATGATTTATTTTATTAAAAATAAAAAATAAAATACATTCAAAAAGCACATATCAAATATTTTCTTGCGAACGAAATTAGAAAAATAAAGGTGATAATAATTATAAAGTTTTAACTAATTTGGTGGCTTATTAAATTCAGAGATCAGAAAGTTTTGGGGTCATTTTTGAAAGGGGAAATTGCCAATGAGAAGCAATACCGTGGGAGGATAAATAGAAGTTTTGAGTATTTTTTTAAAATAATGTTTTAAAAATAAAAAATAGTTTAAAAAACACTATTCAGAGAATCCCATAATGCTTTTTTTTTTTAAATTTATTTTAAAAAAATCTAGCTATTTGTATAAAATAGATTTTAGGCATTTGGATGTTTGTAAAAATCGCAATCATTGTCAACTAATTTGACAACTTAGGTGTTTTGAATATAAGTAATTTAAATCACCTTCAATTAAGGGAGAAATTATTATGTGTGGAGACTAGATGCAGCACGCTATTTGTAGACCAACTAGAATGCACCACGTCAGCGATATCGAGCCGCGGTACCGAGCGAAAGGGGTGACATAACACATTCTGATTGGTCTCTGGACGGTGTTCGACATCCACACAGAATAATTAATCCAATTAAGGATTCTATTTGTATGGAGAATGGGGATATATTTAGTTTTAAGTTGTATCATTTATGCAATTTTAACAACCCATCAAACAATCCACATTGATTCTCATGATCTTAAATTATTCTTTCAACATTTGAGTTTCTTAATGATCAAATCTTGCCTATATTCCTTAATAATCATATATATATATATATATGATCATGAGAATCAATGTACATGAGCTTATTATATTTCTCTTGTCGAAAACACTCATTTTGATTATAAGCACACAAGATTTGGAGATTATTTGATTCTTCAATTAATGTGAATAGATTTTCACTTATGCTTTAAGTATTTGATTTGGGCTCATTTCGATATAGTGGGATCGTTGGAAGAAGGAAGATACAAAAACAAAATCAAAGAAAATAACAAACTCAAAGCACTATCTTGCCAAATACATGACCAAACCACTAAAAAGTGTAAAGTATACAGTACTAATAGAAAAGGTTGCTATGCAAGATCGAGGAGAGCAATATAAAACAAAAAAAGATAGTAAAAGTGTATGATATAATTCAGGTGTAATTATTATATGATGCATCACATCATTTTCTTCCTGTATCTGAAGAGTCTGACACCAACAATGAGATGCTAGTTTGTGCAACATCTGGCTAGTTGAAAAAAATTTCTCGACGATGGTGATCCACTGCCATCTTATACGTAAAATTTGAGTCAATTATTATATTTAGTTCTTGCGAAACATCCACCAACCTATTATATGCAACATAGACAACTGACATTGAGGCAAAATTTCCAGCATTTTGTGGCTTCACTTCACTAAGCCTTAATAAAGCTATCTCTACAAGCTCTGCATTGCATCCTCCATGATAACAAAATGCACCCCATACGCCAACATGAGGCTCCATAGCTTTGCTACACCGATACACCTATTTATGAAGGTGTGTTGTATATGATACACCGATACACATATAAACCTCTGATATGACACCCATACGTGTCAGATACGTCATTGTCGTATCCAATTAAAATACTATTTAATTTCAAAATTATGACACGCATATCCGATACGCATGTCCGTTGATAAACAAAAAAATCTGAAAAAAGACCCATCGTATTTCCTTAATTTCATAGCTGCGAGCGAGATTCTCTCATTTCCGTGATGGATTTGAGTCTCTTGATGAATGGGAATATTAGAAATTCCTAATCTTTCACTTGATTAGTATGAATTAGAAGCTATGATATTTATTGAAGATAGATATAGAAGTTCAAAGACAAACCACTGAAAAAGCTAATCATATCATTCCTTCTATTGAATAGTTGAAATTTCATATGCTAGATAATTTATGTTTATGCTTTTGTTATTGTACTAGACATTTAATGCTTACTTTTATTTTAATATTATAAGCTACAAGGCTACAAATGATGTTAATTTTTTTTTTTTTTTTTTTTTTGTAATTTCAAATATTATGCTTTGATTGTTTTTTTTTGTTTTTATTTATGATTTATAAATTATAATGTCGTGTATGTACACGTATCCTATATTTTAAAGAATTGGCGTGTCTCGTATCCATGTCGCCGCATCCATATTGATGCAACATAGCTCCATAGGCATTGATTTCACAAATCATATGCCTCTTTCAACAAACCTGCTCGTCCAAGAAGATCACCATACATGCATAGGAAATCAGGAGAAGGATCAATATTGTAAACATTATTCATCAACTTAAAATACCTAATACACTCTTCAATGAGGCCAACTTGACCACATGTCATGAGTATCACTGTCAATGCAACATCATTTAGGATGATCCCTTCTTTAAGCATTTTATCAAATAGTTCACCTGCCTTAGCTCCAAAATCAAGTATAGAATTGTTGTGTCCTGGAATATTCGCGCCGGTAGATAGTGATATACTTTAGAATCCTAGCTTTATACGATATCCATCACACAAACACATAAATAAGTAAGGGTGAAGCCTTCATAAGAGACACCAGAGTTTTTACATGGAAACCTCTAAAAAGGGGGAAAATCACGGGGCCTAGCCTAGTTTGAAAGAATCCACTAATGCTTGCAATTGATTACAAATTAGACTCTTCCTTATGAGAAAGGTCCTAGCTCGAAGTAGCAAATATACATAATATAGAGTGCATTATATGGTAGGAGTTCAAAGAATCAGTGTTGATATGTTTGTTTGGGCGATAAGACCATAATCAGTGAGCGATGTAGGTCGGAAGGGCCGTAATTGGATGAAGGTGGACGGAAGGACCGTAGTCGGGAGACGGAGGTCAAAATGATTGTAGTCAGGTGACGGTGCTAGGAACGACCGTAGTCGGCAGACCACGATGGTCGGAAGGACAATAGTTGATGATGGTCGGAAGGACAGTAGTTGACGATGGTCGTTAGAAGGATCGTAGTCGGCCGACAACGGGGGTTATGAGGACCATAGTTGCGCGACGGTGGTTGGAATGATCGTAATTTGCGAGCAATGGTGGTCGGAAGGACCATAGTCAAGGCCGGCAGAAGGAGTTCAGAAGGATCGTAGTTGGCAATGGCAATCAGAAGGACCATAGTCAAGGCCGGCAGAAGTTGGGAGGATCGTAGTTGGGCGACGATGGTCAGAAGGACCGTAGTTTGTGGGCGACGGAGCTTGGAAGGATCGTAGTCGGCGGGCGACAAAGGTTGGGAGGATCGTGGGTGACTGACAAATGGGTGGAATTCTGACAACGATCGAAAAGAACTCTGGCGGTGGTCAATGAATGAGCAAAATTTTGGCGAAAGTCCATTTGTGGTCAGAAGACTAGCGGTGGTCGTCAGACTTCGAAAGTCCATCGGTGGTCAAAAGATTGGCGGAAGTCTATTGGTGGTCAAGAAGAACTTCGGCTCGATGAGACGAATCTAACGAGCTTAAGATCATTGAATTTTGACATCATTAAGATATCCAAATACTCGATAAACAGCCTATAATCAAGGGAATCAATATCGACCATCCATCCAAAAATACTCCCAACCTAATCTTGATCTTCTCACTACTTAGTTGTCATGCCACTCCCCAAAAATTATAAATAGACCTCCAAATTCTTCACAAGGAGAGGGGGAAGGAAGAGAATGGAGGAAGAATGAAGAGAAATATTAAATATCTCTTGCTACCAAGATCCTTCTTGGCCACTGCCCAAACTTCCGTCAGACCACCGACCATTGTTGGACTTCCGTCGGACAAGTTCTTGTCATCGGACTTCTGCTCGATGCTAGAATTCCATCCATGACCGGACTTCCGCCTGTCGCCAGATTTCTGCCAATGTCGGGACTTTCACCGGACCACCATCCATTGCAGGGCTTCCGCCCGATCACCGACCGATGTTGGACTTTGTGGGCCTCCGAAGGAGCACCGCTCGCGGGGGTTCGAATGCAGAGGGTACGGCCGCACTATCCCGTAGGACAAAACGATCGTAGGCCTCTACGCTCGACACAAACGGGTCGATGGGAGGGCAGATTGGATCGCGCATACGACTCACCATTGGGGATAGATGCTGTCGCCAGCACACCCCGATGGGTAGCAATATACACGACCTAGTCACGGGTTTCCCCCACCCGATACGAGAGATCGAGTGGGGTAAAGTAGATTGCGGGGCCAAGTTTCCCACGGGCGCAAGCCCCCGTGGTTAATTACATCCCGGGCCGGAGCCCGAGAAGACTCTCGATTAAGGATCATACATTATCTTTTCCAAATTGGGATTAGTACAAGGGTATAGACT